GTGACTGGCCGTGGGTGTGTCTGAGAATCGGGTGTAATGTCCACAGCATATGAATAACTGTCTAACCCACTCAACCTCTCAAACATTATCCACATCAAAATAAAGTTGAGGCCAAGCACCCCCATGGAATCAAGTTAAGCTTTCTTCGTAATTGTGGTATGTATTCACGGAAAGCCGTCTGGAAATGGCGCTGGATATCATTTTTTAATTTGAATTGATTCAGAGTTAACTTCGACTTGGTTTGATTTGAATTTGAATGTGAATTGAAATTGAATTACACAAATTTGAACTGATCCTAATTTGAATTGACTTACTTGAACTTGAATTAAATTTGACTTGACCGTGAACCAGAATTGGTTTCAATGCATATTAATAATTGGAATTAAACTTCGATGAGAATTGGCTCCAAACACTTCTGCTTGAAACTGAAATGGAATCTACGCTAATTTGAAGTTGCATCAGAAATGATGACCCTCTTTGGGGGGTCAAGCAATGCTTGTTTGGGTTCCCGCTTGTTTTTAGGCTACCCCCTGTGCGAGTTGTTGGGAAGCATTCTTGAAACAAGATGCAATAAAGATAATGACATGTCAGGAGGTGGTCCCAACTAAATCAACTATCATCAACTATCATCAACCATAATCAACTATAATCAATTATCCTCAACCATAACTAAACCCTAGGTTTAAAACCTATGAAAATCACCATATATTTCTCCTGGTGATCTTGCCATTTTTTATGGGTAAAATCCCCCGTTTTGGCCACGCACCCGGCACGTCCGACCTCTGTAAGACACGTTTCTTGGTGCTGGTGATGCCTTCGATGGCTGCCACAAACTTGTCCGCGGCCTGGCCAGGCTAATGGCTATGACGGCGATGTAACGTAGATAGGGAAATCATGAAAACCATCAATCAACCATTATATGCAGTATTGGGATAACTATTGGGATTGGGTCACTTTGGGATAACTATTGGGATTGGGATAACAAATAGTTATATGCAGTATTGGGATTGATGGGTAATGATGGTTAACTATATGGTATAACTGTATAATAACTATTTCTTATTGTTAATATAATGGGTAATGATGGGATGATATACCCAATATTATATGCAGTATTGGGATAACTATTTAAGTTATTGTTAATATTGGGTATATCATATACTAGTGGAGTTTTCTTGGGGATATGATATATAGGTATTATATTTACATACATCAATGGTTGACAATATACTGTGGGTGGTTGCGAAATCCTGCACCAGTTGATAGGTGGTAAACATCCCGTCATTTATAGGGTTTCAACCATCCTTTTGGTGGTGCAGAATTTCGCAACCATCCACCGTATGGTTAAACATGGCTTTGTATGGTTTCATATTGTCTTCCCATATGGTATGTTTGTGGTTTCAAATGGTTTTAAATGTATCGAACATGGTGATTGAAGGTGATTGAATTCGATTAAATTGGAAATTAGCCAACAATTATAAACTATGGTGGTATAATGCGCATAATACCATGATTAGGGATTTATAGTGAGTTTAATATATGATTGATAGTCAAACGTGGCTGGGAAATCCCAATAAATCGTGGAGGTTTACAGCTGGTTGGTGGTTGACCTACCATCTTGAAACATGATGGAGTTCGTCAATGGGAAGGATGACATCCCTTTTTTATGAAATGGTAAATGATTCCAAACGTTTGAAACCACCAACCAGCTATTTATGTTTGGTTACAAAAGGGTATATACAGTGTACAAGGTGTGTTTTTTCCCCTCCCCAGTGACGCTTGTGGTTTATGAACCCGTCTAACGACATATCTACCGTATAATACATCCTAGTTTGCCTACTGACAAACTTAGCGAAGTAGAAGGGCACCACCTTGTAATCCTCCAAGTGCTGGGTGTGGTGTAGGTGGTTCACACTACTTGGTCCAATACAGCAAGGGTCAGACCAACTCTAAGCCCAGTAAACCGCCAAGTATGAGAAAAGCCAAAAACATCGCGGGAATTGAATGTATCTGGGACTTTGCTTGATAAGATGCGTTTAAAATGTTGATCATCAGTTTTCCGGAATTCTTACCAGACCAAACCTTTTTTTGGATAGTCCATAATGTGCTACACAACCGTGCCCAATTTCACTGTGACATATATATGTTTTTTTAGGGGATCATACACCCATGATGCCACCAAGATCGACTTAAGTGCCATCGACCTGTGCATGTTCGTCTTCAGTCTATGTTCACAGCCACTAATCCATTTGCACTTGACTAGGCTGCCGCACTGTGCGGAAAACGTTGACTCTTGACATGATCAACATTGGACAAATGCAATTTTATCATCCAAATCTGTCCACACCTGTGCAAATCAATCCTCACACACAAACCTTTCTTTGGTACATTTGGCCCTTCACAACCCTTCTCTCCAGTCCAACGCGTGGCCCGAACGTCCCCAACATGGTATTCCAACCACGTCGGGAATGCGATGTTGACGCCGAGGAAGAGGTAGAGCATAGCGAAAAGATACAGCACTGCCCTGACCCATCCTGCATGGCTTCTGGGATCCGAGGAAGTAAGCGGTTTATGACCCATATAAAACTGGGGATATATCTGGGCAAATTATAATAATTCACTAATCTGAATTAAGGCCATTTGGGGATGATTCCCCTTACTAACCATGATTTCCAGTGAGGTCGTAGTGAGGTTGTTATAATTTACCCAGATATATACCATGTACTGTTATGTATACAATAAGAGACTGTTATCTGTTATTGTATACGTATATATAGTATATAACGAGGGAATAATCAATATGGTTATGCTCTTCGACCCACTTACTAACTGGGATGCACTTCCATGTTGCGCTGATGGGATGTTGTGGGCAAGCCAAACCTTGCGATGTCAACGCCATGGAATTGTCGACATTCCAAACCTTAACATGGACTGGGTGGACTGTGACAAACAAAATAAACCTGGCACTTTCGAACAACCTATTTTATGTCATTGAATGCCTATATAGTTATATATATATATCAGTTCTATCCAACGAATGGGATTCATCACCATTCTAGCGAATCTCTGTGTCAATTTTTAATGTGGCAATTTCAAACGCTATATGAAAGCAACCTGAATAAAACAAAAAACAAAAGGCAAGGAAAGGTTCCTTTGAATGGCCTGAAAATGATTTGCGGGATGGTGATTTTGGCTTACTTTCTGTCATGATAAACAAATAAGGATGTTTATCTGCTTCATTTCATCCACAACATGCCACTACCATGTGGCAGCTGCTAAGTCAGGAACAAACCATCAACACAACTGGCATGGTTCAGTTCAGCCTGGCATAAGACTTTTGGCCTTACCGGAACAAATCACATTGATTGTGTCTACCGATGTTCATGCCGGAACAAGGTTTTTTTTTTCTGCTTGGTGGTTTGAAAACCACCTCAACACAATTCTACTTACAGTTATTTCAGTGTGCTTAAATACATGTTTTTCATGATTTTCATGGTAAAACATCAAAACATGACTTCCCCAGGTTTTGATTCATATGTTTCCAGCCATTCCCAGCCATTCCCCCGCCACATTTTGTGGCTCCTTCCCAGGAGGCTTCCGCATCGGTGAGGGGAAAAATGAGTCCTCGGCCTGGTCTGGTTGGTGGTGCAATAACCATCTGGAAAAATATGAAAACATCACGGTTATTATGGTGATATAAACTATTGCTTTCTGGTAAATTCATTGGTTGGTCGTATACCTACCTACCCCTCTCAAAAATATTTTTGTCAATGGGTTTCGGATGACATCCCATATATGAAATGGACAATAATCCAGCCATGTTTGAAACCACCAACCAGTAAATGGTGGACTTTCCATGATTTTTTCCCTGCCGCGTTTGATTGAACCGTCTGGACATTTGGGGATGATTCCCGGAATCCTTTTTTGACGATGCCAGGCTTCGGTCATAACATACTTTATCCAGATCATTCACCTGTTTCGAAGGAACACACACACACATATATATATACATGTGACATGTGTATATATATATAGACAGTGTATTATATATATACATATATATATATATTGAGTTTTCTAAAAAAAACAATCAAATAAAAACAGCAGAAATGCTGGCTTCAATGCTGTGCCGGCTGTCTGACCTCTGGACCAGTTTCATTAAAAAAAAAAGGAGACCCAACCAGGCACCTAAACTTTGGTCCTAAATAGAGACCGAATTTCAGGCAACACTCGATGAATCCGAAATGGATGGAGAAATTCTAGGCGACAGCTACATCATTTTACCATGGTTTCTTAATCTGCAGGTCCCAAATCCAACACGTCCGCGGCCTCCAGGATCGCAAATTCTGGCCATGACCAGATGCCGTGAAACTTGCCAGTTGAGCAGAAAATGTTTGAATTCTGTGGATGGCGTATGTTATGTGGCGTGGGGTGTCATGAAGCTGCCAGCTCATGTCAGAGATATGAGGAATGAACTGGAACTTTTACCACTGGGCGGTCAACTAAGAACTTGCACTAGCAGACTGGTGAGGTTCACCCCTGTATTCCTAGCAGTCTGGGGTAGTCCAATGCTTGGTGTAGGCCGCAAGCTACACTTCTGGCATCACTTTGGGGGTGGGGTATGGTGGGGTGGGATATCTGAGTTCGGCTGGGGCCGAAAGTGACCCCCTTGTTTTTTCCGTTTAAAGGCTCCACCTCTATGGGCCAAAAGTGCGGCGTGGAAGGCTTATAACATCACTACATCACTACCTTTCTGGCTGGGGAGGACCATACCAAAATGTCAGATACATTTTTTTCAAGGCGTGTTTTGGGGAGGGGCCTTGAAAGTATAAATTTACATACCTTACACTCAGAAATTAGTGTAAGATATACAGTACATGTACATTGCAGCACACTTGACAATACATGTTTGTACTGGTGCTATCACAACACCATCAAGTACCTGCAAAAAATGCTAAACCTGGGCATCAAATGAAACCAAGTCGCAAGCGAAAACATTTCACAAAAGTGGTGACAGAATGTGGATGTACTCTCTCAGCACATCCAAACATACTCTCTCAGCCTGGCACTCGGCGACACTATCACAGCATCGCCCGTTGTTTCTGCAGTAAAACGAACAATGATAGTGTTGCAAAATTGGCATTCCAAAATTCCATGAAACAGTGGTTAAATACATGATGTAACATGTCGTAAAGAGGATGTCCAGCAAAGAGGGAGGGGAAATGCCATAGGATTCAATAATATCCTTAAACATTCAACACACATCAATGACAACAAAAACACACAATCAAACCATGTCCCTGATATGAAAAACATGAAGCATGACATAATGTATTACATTGTATTACATGTACTATGGTATTAAGACTCCAAGTATGTTGTTTCGTTCAACGACGAACAATACTTGTTTAATGCATGGTCATAAGCAATCAATCATGGTCACACGAACTCACTTTCTGGGCCATCCTTCCCCCCCTTCCGACCCTGATTTATTGGAACAAAGTAAGAACTATTGAGAATCACAAGTGAGTCCAAGCCTCTGTTGAAAGGTGTAGTCAGCTTCCACATGGTTTCAAAAGATGCAATCAATTAATGAGAACCCAACAAAAGTCAAGGATACCCAAGGTGTCTTTGCTCAGGGAAGTATCAAAATATCATAATAATATCATAAGAATATCATGATATGTGAAGATACTTTGATTTTGCTCAGGTATTTTTGATATTGGAATTCAACAAAATCATTTTGTTTTTGGTCTTCACCGTCTTCATGTCGTGAAAACCGTCTCCGTGAATCCCACTGATCTGCAACTGAAAACCCCAGTGACTCTGGAGGATTTTTTTGACGAAAATCTCCCAGTGAGCTGCTTTGAGTCAACATAAACATATCGCATTTCTCTCTCACACATTCTTTGAAAAAGTGGAAGAAAAACAGCACACGGCCGGTGAAGCTCCGCAGTTCTGTTTGATGGTCAACAAAAACTTCTATACCACATAAACCCGAGTCAACCAAGTGAACAAAGTAAACTTAGCCATAATAAATCAGCTATCAATTCCATGATATCCCATGAAACCCAAATGTTTATCATTTTTTCCTGGTGAAATGTTAAGCCAAAATAAGCCAAACACTTGACCAATAATGGTTCAAAAGTCAAAAACCACCATGGTTCAAAGTCATCTCCCTTACCCTTGGATGTCGAGTCAGGGGGTGGGTCCTGGATCGAGCGCTGAAGGTCACTGGCCTGGGCTAGGTGGTGGTGTCGTCATTTTCTCTACTGAGTTCAATTCAAGACGCATGCAGACATAGAAACAAGTCTGACTCTTGGAGTTTATATACATGGCAGTGTGTCAAAACCTTGTACCCCTGGTGAACATCAAAATAGCTGGTAAATGGATGTTCATCCCCCTAAAAATGGTATTAATAGGTATTGATCCATACCCACATGATTACTGTATACATGTTTGTCTGTTTTGGTTTCATACTCTTGTCTCCGGTGGCTTTCCCTTGAACATAAACCACTGAAACTTTTTGAAAGATGTGAGATGGCTGTTGCACAATGACGTCAACATGGCAAAGCTGCACATGTGTATTAGCGGATTCTAGCCCGGCCCCACTCATTCCTAGAATGGAATATGAAGTACACATTCTTCCCTCAAACATTCCTAGGATGAAGTATGAAGCACACATTCTTCCCTCAAAATGGAGGAACACAGATTTAATCATCCCTCATTCAACCTGCTGTGAATCAAGGCCTAGCACCGGGTCGATGTTTTTTAGTAAGCGCTTGGGATTGCCGGGGTACATACTATACAGATCAGTATAGTAATCCTGGAACTCCCGGTCCAGGAGAACCACATATCTGGGATCCTTCAATTCCCCGAATTACCCGCGAAGAATCATAAACAGATCGTCAGAATTTGTGGTTCGGGCCTTCGATGTTTCAACCAGAACAAGTTCCACCATGTTCCGCCACAATTCTATTCGGAAACTCTGGGAAACTTCTCCTGACCCGTTCATTGTGAGCAATGCTACCTGCAACGCAATCTCATTATACTGAATGGCTGAAGATGGTTTATGATTTCCATTGATTTCCCATAACGGACTGTGATAATCCGCATAGATTGGAGAGTATAAGCCCACATAATCATCAATCAACAAGGGTTTTGAATTTTGAACATTGCTCAGGTGGTAACTGCATAGCTCCCACTATTTTTTGACGTCACCAGAATAGATGCGTAATGGCGGTATAATACCGTACAATATAAAGTGCATGGCCCATTTCAATGTAGGTTCTACTCACAGTTTGCCCTTTGCTAAGTGGGATATGTTGGATATGTTTGACTGATATCTGTAGCAACGAATAGCAGCGAAACATCACCCATTGTCACACACATTACAATCTACAGTAACCCTCTTTAAGATGCATCATAAAAAGCCAGAGTTTCTGGCCTGCAAATGCAGCAATTGCGCTTCCTTGCGCCAGCCTTCATGCCTCGGCTCCGTAACTTTTTCATGGGACTTCTAATCTGGGAAACTCGAACGTTTTTTTTGGGGGAATTTTGTGTAGAAAGAATGGGGGATTTAATGGAATTTAACCTCAAACATAGGGTGTTACAATGTTTTACCCTTTGACATGGTTTGACCATCCCTATTTGTACCCTCTGCAAATCTGTTACGGTTTGCAGAGAATGAAATTGATTGCTCTAAATAATATAAACTGGATGATGTTCCATAGCAAACTGTATGGGCCGTGCGCTAGTTGGGAGAGTCGTCCATGTGCAAATGATTTGCCCATTGATGGACCACCTCCTCGTTGCTTTGCGCATCTTATATCATCTTATGCTGTGCTATAATAGCTATATACACAATATACCCTCTGAAATCACATGGCTTGCTAAAAAATATACCATTTAGTTCGCTGATTTTCCTATTAAAACCTCCATCTGCTAGTGCGGGAAGGCCGCCCAGCTGGACACTAATTATACCCTCACTTTGCAGCGTCCCATGGCTAGTTAGGACCGCATTGGTCGCGATCCAAGCCCAATTTCACTAGAGAATCTTGGAATATCATAGAAGATGTCTATCAGCCGACGTCGCAGGTTGGGTCACTATAGATTCAGCCAGCAGTGGTATATATATGGACCCCTGAAACCCATGGTTTCCCTATTAAAATGGTAATCTAATTGCAATATCCCCATTTTATCCCTGGCAAATATCATGGCATTTTTTAGTTGGTTACAGGAGCCAACGATGTATCTAGCTGGATCAATCCCATATTTTTGGTTAAATTCAAAGTAGCATTTTGGCAGTTTGCCCTCCTGTAAATGAACATAGACCCTGGCAATTGGGGGGGTTGGAAGTTTCGTTTCCACTCAACAGTCGCATACAGTCGCTACGTTCAGGGTCTAAGTTAACGATATGGACAACCAACACTACTGTATGCGTAGGCAGTCATGTACACACCATGTTCCATAGCTATGTTAGATTGCCAGATAGTACCAGAGGCCAAGTTTTCTGCTTGAACAGTTGTTAAAGTCATGGGGGTACCCCTAAAATCAGCATTTTTTTTGGTGGTATGTTCCATCAAGAAAACCATCCAGCTCTTGGGGTACCTCCCCATTTATGAAAACCGAGCTCCCAGGCTCGGCTTTCAGGTCCTGCAAGGTCTCTTGTTGAAACCTTAGACGACTGACATCCCGGAAAACAGCTGCGGAACAGAGGTAAGTTTACTTGTCTCTCTTCTTTGGGGTTATATTACGGTTATATACTGTATATAGATATATATGTATATATGTATGTATGTATATATATATATTATATTATATTATATTATATTATATTGTATATATTTATTATATTATACATATATATATATTAAACATTATATATATTATTATTATTATATTGTATATATAAATATCACATATTCAGATATGTACAAATGTACTGCAATGTTGTGTGCTGAGATGTCATACTACTTTATGTGATATGATGCCATGGCCACGGCAGGTAGTATTCTATCATCTTATAGTAGCTATTTGGTGGTTCATCCCAGATATTAGGAACTTGATTGGTTTTCCCCTGGTTATGAGATGATATAAGTAGGGCAAGTAGGGGAAATGTCCAGTTATTTCACTGGGGTGAACTAATCCACTTATCCCCACTTACGATTCCTTGATTCCTGGGAGGAGCCACCGAGTAACATCATGTTATGAATATTCCATCAATATCTCAAAAAACATTCCCATTCTATCCCTAGTCATATTCCCTTAATATGTCCATTCGTATTACATTTTTACCATCATTCCATGTATATCATTCTATATCTATATAGGTAATTACGTATATAATCATATATAGATGATTTAGTTACCTATTAAAAACCTATTAAAACACCTTTTCTTTTCATCACACCTGGCGTTCCCATCCAGGCCGGCCGGGCGTCTCGTATTCCACCATGCACTGCTCGCGCTCTTTGGCGACCTCAATGTCAATGGCGGATTTACGCAACAGAAATGGGGGAAAATTTCAGCGCACATGCAGACTTAGGTGACTTAAGCAAGAAAAAAAGCCAGTGAAGCAACAGAAATATGTTTTTCCCCACCTGCCAGGTGAGGGTTGTTAGATTTTATCAGAGCTGTTCTCCTCCTCCTCCTCACCCGCCGCCTCCTCCTCGCAGTCCAGATCCCAGTGGGCACAGCCGGACCTCCACCGCGAGCTCCAGATCCCAGTGGGCACTGCCGGACCTCAACCGCGAGTTGCAGATCGCAGTGGGCACTGCCGGACCTCAACCGCGACTTTTGCAGAGTTGGCAGTGGGCACTGCCGGACCTCAACCGCGACTTCCAGATCGCAGTGGGCACTGCCGGACCTCAACCGCGACTTCCAGATCGCAGTGGGCACTGCCGGACCTCAACGGGAAGAATGTCAGAAAAGATGTCAGATAGAATGTCAGAAGATATGCCAGATAGAATGCCAGAAAGAATGTCAGAAAGAGAAGATATGCCAGACAGAATGTCAGAAGATATGCCAGAAAGAATGTCAGAAGATATGTCAGATAGAATGTCAGAAGATATGCCAGATAGAATGCCAGAAAAAATGTCAGAAGATATGCCAGATAGAATGTCAGATAGCCAGAAGATATGCCAGATAGAATGCCAGAAGATATGTCAGATAGAATGCCAGAAGATATGCCAGATAGAATGCCAGAAGATATGCCAGAAGAATGCCAGAAGCCAGAAGATATGCCAGATAGAATGCCAGAAGATATGTCAGATAGAATGCCAGAAGATTTGCCAGTAAGAAAATGTATAAATGTCATGGTGGGGATCACACGAAGTAAAGTAAATGTTCATATATAATATTGCAACAAAATGGGGACTGAAGAAACGAACATTGGAAATTGAAGCAGCAAACATTGGGGATTTAAGCCCTGGTCTGGTAACTCGTTACAAATCAACATTGTTAAAAAACGGTAAATCAACAATAAATGGCCATGTCTTCCATAGCAAACTGTTAAATTACCAGAGGATAAGTTGGTTCATAAACCCATCTAACATCATCTAAATATGATATCTAGACATTGTAGATGTATCTGACACAATTCCTAGATTGTTTTCTTATCAACTAACTTACCTATTTAGGGGGAGCCCTTCTGTAACATTCACAAAGGTGGACCGACAACAAGGTCAGGCCCCCACTTATAAGTTGCTCTATAAACCCATTCACTACAGCTACAACATACTTCATAATCCTTAATGAACCAAGTGATAAGTCAATTTGGCTACGTAGTATATACAGTATCTAGGGGGCCTCACTGTGCAATTCACAAATCATTCAATCAATAATTATGGTTCTGTTTGAAAATTATTCTGAACTGATGGTTTAGACATTCCCCAAGTTGAGACATAACCCCAAAATATCATGTATCCCATGTTATCCCAGGATTTCCCACCAGATCCGTTGTGTTGCGTCAATCCCATGATATCCACGTGAAATGGCTCAGAACCATGTGTTTGCGCGGTTACCCAGTTGATCCCAGTTCTATAGATTTGCCATGGGATTTCCAGTCTCAAAAAATCCTCTCAACATGCCCAAAACATACAATGTGAGGCCCCCGTTGGATAGCGTTCAGTTGGTGCCAATAACTCCAATTTAACTATGGCAACTATGGTACTCATAACTATAGTTACTGGGGCGAATCTAAACCAACTTACCCTCTGGTAATTTAACATAGCTTTTGAAAATGGCCATTTATAGTGAGTTTTCCCATGAAAAATTGTGATTTTCAATAGCTATGTTAAATTACCAGAGGGTATAACTGGGGGGCCTCACAAAACATCGCCTTCATTCCGGTGTTGCCTCGGCAGCCGAGGCACTCTCAACAGTGCAGCCATTTGTGTCAGCGCCGCGTGCGCAGCTGGGTAACTTTGCCCCTGGCGACCGCCGAGGGGGTGGAACCTGGTGGAACCGTAGGTTGGCACCGTTGAAAAGTGCCATTCAACTGCTCAGGGGATGTGGTTCTGACAGGGCTAACCTAAGGTAACTAATCCCTTCCTCCTAATACTAAACGTCCCCCTAATACTAAAAACAGGCATCCATCTCCAATTTCCGAAAATTTCAGTTTGGCCAATTTGACTTTTAATTGATCCCCTTTAAAAAACAATTCAAAAATCAACCTACCATTTGTGGGTTCTCCCCCCTAATACTAAAAACTCGTTCACCCCGGGGTGTTTAGTATTAGGGGGGCCTAGTCCCAATCCCTCACTCCAAGCTGCCTAGCTACTCTAGAAATTAGGGGTAAGCTTCTAACTGCCATTTTTGGCAATATTTTAATTGCGTTATATAAGGAAATTTAATTGATTTTGAGATCGGAAAAAATAGTTTTTAGTATTAAGGGTTTTAATTTAGTATTAGGGGTAAGCTTCGAACTGCCATTTTTGGCGATATTTTAATTGCGTTATATAAAGAAATTTAATTGATTTTGAGATCGGAAAAAATAGTTTTTAGTATTAAGGGTTTTAATTTAGTATTAGGGGTAAGCTTCGAACTGCCATTTTTGGCAATATTTTAATTGCGTTATATAAAGAAATTTAATTGATCTTGAGATCGGAAAAAATAGTTTTTAGTATTAAGGGTTTTAATTTAGTATTAGGGGTAAGCTTCGAACTGCCATTTTTGGCAATATTTTAATTGCGTTATATAAGGAAATTTAATTGATTTTGAGATCGGAAAAAATAGTTTTTAGTATTAAGGGTTTTAATTTAGTATTAGGGGTAAGCTTCGAACTGCCATTTTTGGCAATATTTTAATTGCGTTATATAAGGAAATTTAATTAATTAATTAACATGACTTCGATTTGGTTCCCTAATAATAAATACCCCCCTAATACTAAAAACTACCTGCCGTGTTTTGTATTAGGGGGGGGGGTTTAGTATTAGGAGGAAGGGATTAGTAACTATATATATATATATATAACCTGCAAAGAGCTTGATCCGTAGCTGGTTACAGTACTTTGTACAACTCTGGCAAAATTTGACTAACTTTTTGTTGGCTGTCCAAAGCTGTCCGGAGAAAACTCAGCTACTAAAGCGATGACGGAGGGGATTTCCTCACAAAGGGCCAACCCTGGCAGGAAATGGACAAACTGTGTGAAGATTCTTGGAGGTCTGGATGGCTGGAAGTTGCAAGGCAAACACCCGCATCTGATGTGACGCTGTCGATCACCACGGTAGATATGCCAAGGAAGTGGCCCAAAAATGCAACTTTCCAAAAGAGCCAACTGAGCCATGCCATTCCCATCTCTTTTGGCGTAGCTCAGCCGTTCTGTCATTTTTGAAGAAGACTCAGGCTTGCCCAGCTGATTTCTTCGGGATTCAAACATGGCAATAAAAACTCCCAAGTGGGAATGGTCCATTGCCATGTCTGATTTCTAGGGTGCACTTGGAGTTTGAACCAACATCTATGCTCTGGTCTACAACCAACAAATAAAACTATATAACATTATATAATATTAAACAACATTATTGAACGAAAATATGCAACAGGGGAGTCATCCCACCTCTGTTCAACATCGGGGAAAAAAAGAAAACATAGTATCTACAACGACCTATATCTCTGGTGAATTCAAGTTCCGACTTACTGGGCAGCCATGCAGCAAAAAAAACTAGTTGGTTGGCAAAAAGAACATGTGTCATTTCTACTCCACCAATTATAAACCCCCTCTGCTGATTGATTGGGTGATTACTTCCGTTCGAAGTCATCATTTTGCGTTCAAATGGAGCACCCAAATTGAACCAACCTTTAAACCAATACCCTCTGGTAAACTAACATAACATGGAAAATCACCATTTTTAATGGGAAAACTCACTATAAATGGCCATGTTCAATAGCTACGTTAAATTACCAGAGGGTAAACAAATAACGCCAACATGGTTTTGCAATAGTTGGTCCAACAACACGAGACTCCACACTGTGTGCCCTGTGTTTTTTCATCCACAATTTCTCCCATGACGATGGTCATACAATGGGGGATTCAGCACCTGCCGTCTTGAGACAAAACCCAATATGCAAAATATCATACCAGCTTGGTTATATTATATAACTGATAATTACTTGTAACAATATATCATACCAGTTTGGTGACAGTATGGTATACCGTAATTAATTATATCTATATATATATCATTGATATACCACAAAAATCCCTACTCTATCTCCTTTTTGTGCTGCTTAAAAAATCACCCAGCAACTTTCTAATCCCATGTACCCACTGATGATATCTTTCGCCCCGTCTTCCGGGGTAAATCCCGCATGGGCAAATGCACATATCATAGTGTTACAGGATGGGGCCCCCCAGGTATAAGTGGGTTTATAAACCATTATAACCCCTGTTAACTATAGTTATATCTACCATAAAGCCACTTATAAGGCAACTTAGCTATCTTGGGGGCCCCATCCTGTACCTATATATCCAATAAAAAAAATGAAATGGTTGGCATGCTACGGCATATTCACATGATATCCGCGTCAAAACTAGAATCAGGTTAAAACTGCTAAACCCCAGTTTTACATGGGATTTTCTCCATAATCTTCATATTATCCGGAAAAAAAACAAACATCCACCTGCCCCCAAAAAAATCTGCCGCCGACCACCTCGCCCGCGGCGCGAAATCTCCAGGTGCTAGGTATGCTCAGTCGAATGGGCTCAATCACTAGCTCTGCCCTGGGCAGTCCCATGGGAAATCCAGCTTGGAAATGTGTGGCCCTACAGTTCTGGGCCTTAACAATCCTTAACAGTTGTAAATTTGGGATTAGAATGTTATATATATAATATATATATATGTGGTTGTTGATCAAAATTCCTTTATCCCGGAACGGCCATTATTCGCGAATAAACACCTTACTTTCGCGAACTCCATGTTTATCTTTCGCGGGGCCCATGTTGGCCAACAACACCTCTTATGAAGATTCGTTCACCACCTGCCAAATTACGCCAGAGAATCACGGATCACTTCTTGGTAGCCCTTTAAACATGCAGCTAGCATCACGGAATCCCTTCTCAGGACAGTTTTTTTTTGCAAAGTTTACTGGCCCACCCCCTTCAACATGCACTTTGACTTTCGCCCGCTCTTTCGCATAACTTTCGCGAAAATATCCCTATTCACAGACCCCGGCTATCAGCAGGGGGCAGGGGGCGCACTGAAGGAAAAGCGAAGACCAGGGGCCTTGGTGTTTGGCTCTCGCAAAGCCTCACTTTTGGAAACTTGGCTACTGCTACTCGCATTCTCTGGTGCCCTTCTCCTTCGGGACCCCGGGCGGCAGTGGGTGGCAGCCCTTTACATATAATGATTATAATACCCAACTTTCGCGAAACTTTCGCGAAATAAAATTTTACTTTCGCGAACTGGAAAAAAAAAACATTCGCGAGGGTTTCCAACATAACATGCACGGCTTTCGCAATTAAAACTCCTTACAAGGACCTTTAGATCGATCACCATATATATATATGAGACAATAGGAGTTATAATGTTATAAATCATCCCATTTATAAGTGTTAAGGGCCATAACTGTATAAGATGACATACTTTGACAAACACATTTGGGGCTATGCTGCGGTATGCTGTTTAGAGATGATCCATTTTTGGGGGGGTGTACCATGTTGTATCAGCCCAGCAATATCAAAACACAAAACACAAATGGATTTTACTCGGATTTAGCCTCTGGTTATCTGGTTATTTCACCATATGGAAGCCATGGCCCTTTTTGAATTGTATAGAATATAGATGAATGATGATTGACCTATTAAGTTTGCATCTTGATGTTCCAGTTCGCTATAACCAAATTTTTGAAACAAACCCCAACTCAATGGAGGTTTCGATGGGGAAATCATCGAACTATGTAGCTATGTGAAGGATTTCCAGCAAGCTACGTTTGATGACAAGCTATCACACGCTTCCCAGATCCCAGATTTTACCAGTCCTGGCTTCCGCTGGAGCCGCTGGCTCCTCAGTTTCCAACCTGGCGCTTCGGCCCCCACTTGGATAGCCGGATAAAAAAGATCGATATCCCACATCACTCTGATGACTTTCAATGGTTCCTTGATGAGTCTTGATAATTACTGGTTGGTGGCTTCAACCCCTCTGAAAAATATGAAAGTCAGATTGGATCATCATCCCAACTATTGGGGAAAAAATGTTCCAAACCACCAACCAGATTAAATCATTGAATATAATTGATATTTTCTGCTGGCTTCTGAGGATCGTTTCTTGATGCTTCGGTATCAGCATCAACAAAACTCGTCCCTGAAAGGTATCACAACCCGGAACACGGACGATTTGGGTTGTCCGTGGTTGAGTCCCGTGACCATTGGTATACCCATCCAAAGCATGTATGTTTGCTTTTTTCATTCATAAAGCGTAACGCATTGTATAGCTAAATAATTTGGCATAGTATATGTGAGAAAGATATGAACCAAAACAAGTTCATGGCATGTCTTACGTACATTCACCTACAATTGCCCCAAAAGTATGATTTGATTAGAGTAGTTTTTCATAGTGTTTGATTGGCTTTTGATCTGGTTTGTGGTTTCAACACTCCTCTAAAAAATGCCCGGATCACCATTGATATAGTTGAAACTAGTATAAACAACAAGAACCACCAACAAGTCATTGTCATGTAAACGCGATGGCAGGATAAATCTAGAAACACATGCCATCAATTTTGCGACAATTGCTGGGGAAATCCAAATTTGGTAGGGGACATCACCATGTTGGATAGCTAGTTCAACTTAATTATTCCAATAGTGTCATAATGTTTCATTATCACTCTATACATATATATATATATTACCTCTATTATTTCCCCCATTTTAAGTGGCTGAATTCACCATTTCTATCCATTTCTATCATACATTCTCATCATTTCTCAATTGATCCATTCTTGACCCGTTGCCATCTCCCAGCTCGGCAAGTCACGTCTCCAACGGCTCCTCTGGCGGCGCTGGCGAAGCAGGTCCCGGCTCAGGAACTGCCTGGGCCGCCTGGGTCGTCGTCCCTTCGTTTTTTTTTGGGAACTTTGGATGGAACATGAAGGACACATGATGTTTTTTCGGAGAAGAAAACATACATACATCATATATGTATATATTATACATACATAATCTGACCTGTTTTTATGATAGTTGAAAAGGTGGTACTGAATGTATAGGCATCGTTGGACAGAATGGTCACGCACCAGTATTCGCTACTGGTACGAATCGAGGCATTCTTGAAACGATCACTACAGGACTACAGGTGAATGGGGTACCCCTAGGACACTCTCTAGCATTATGCAGGAAACTAGTTGAATAGTTGATACTGCTGGAGACGGGAGGTAAGCCCAACTAACACCCAATGGAAGTAGCACAAGTTGAAGATTGTCAAAAAAGGAAGACAAACAAAGCCCCAGTAGCTGCAGACAAATTACACTACCTTTCGTTGCATGATAGTGGGACACTGCCCCAGATGAATGGAGCCCAAAGTTTAAATGAATGGGATGGTTGAAAATTGAAATGCTTTGGAAGGTTTTTTGAACTCCCTTGTCAACGCTTTTTGTGGAGACCCAGCCAGTGAGAAAAAACACACACACTAGATGAAGCTACCAATAGCGACTGCGCTTGTGGAGTTTTGGCGTCGCTGGACCACCCTAAATCGAGCGTTCTAACAGGGAGCGACCGTCACTCCCTGTTAGAACACTCACTACCGGTAGCGACTGCACTTGTGGAGTTTTGGAGTCGCTGGACCACCCTAAATCTTGCGTTCTTCTCAGTACAACCCCAGCGAAAACACAAGATGATCCTTGGGTCGGCACCCTTAGAACACTCACTACCGGTAGCGAGCGTTCTAACAGGGAGCGACCGTCACTCCATGTTAGAACACTCACTACCGGTAGCGAGCGTTCTAGTGGAGTTTTTCCGTCGCTGGGGCACCATCAATCTTGCGTTCTTCTCACTAAGACCCCGGCGAAAACACAAGACCACCCCTGGGTCGATGTTTCCCAACCCTCCCTTAGAACACTCACTACCGGTAGATACCGGTAGCGAGCGTTCTAACAGGGAGCGACCGTCACTCCCTGTTAGAACACTATTTATCTTAATAGCACCATTTTTTAATACATTTTGAATCCCCAAAGCACTACCGGTAGTGAGCGTTCTAAGGGCTCCACATTGACAGAATTCCCAATTCACTACCGGTAGTGAGCGTTCTAAGGGCTCCCCAGTGACAGAATTCCCAATTCACTACCGGTAGCGAGCGTTCTAAGGGCTCCCCATTGACAAAAGTCCCAATTCACTACCGGTAGCGAGCGTTCTAAGGGTTCCCAATTCACTACCGGTAGCGGGCGTTCTAAGGGTTTCCAATTAAGGGTTTCCAATTCACTACCGGTAGCGAGCGTTCTAAGGGTTCCCAATTCACTACCGCTAGCGAGCGTTCTAAGAGTTCCCAATTCACTACCGCTAGCGAGCGTTCTAATGGTTCCCAATTCACTACCGGTAGCGAGCGTTCTAAGGGTTCCCAATTCACTATCGGTAGCGAGCGTTCTAAGAGTTCCCAATTCACGACCGGTAGCGAGCGTTCTAAGGGTTTCCATTCACTACCGGTAGCGAGCGTTCTAAGGATTATCAATTCACTATCGGTAGCGCCTGTTTTAAGGGACCCAATTCACTACCGCTAGCGAGCGTTCTAAGATGTTCTCAGGGTGCCCAATTCAGACCAGTAGTGAATGTTGGTGGAGTAGCCGTGGTGTCCAAAGATGCAAATATACAGTACCACCTTCATAAAAGCAGGACAGTAATTATATATATATATATATCCCATTTGTATCCATTTAATTGGTTTCTGTTGACTGCATTTTTTGTGATTCTTCAAAACCCCATCCTAATTGGATGAAGTCGCGCAGCGTTCCCTCGTCGTTGTCAACGCCTTCCGATTGTCCCATGAAGAAATCTCCATTGATCGACCAGAGGGTATCCTCTGGTAAACATACAAAAAGCTATTGAACATGGCCATAGAAATAGTGGATTTACCCATTGAAAATGGTGGATCTTTCCATAGTTATGTGAAAGTTTACCAGAGGGTACCATTAATGACAGCTTTTGGCCAAGTTGCCGCAGCAGCAGAGGCATCTTCGTGTTGCTTCCTGGCAAAGATCACCGGGATGTATAAATATCAAACTCATGAATTGTTTTCAGGGAAAACCATGGCCAACTTAGATACCCCGTTCCGAAAAAGTACTGTGTTCCTCTGAAGTTTCTCTTAGCTTGTTTGTAACTTGTACAGTATCCCCAATTGCAGCAGATGAAATTCAAAACTCTTCTTCCAAGGTTGCTCCAAGTTGGTCACACTTGGTGACCTTCTGCGCCATATTGTTTGTCTCTTCTACACTGAATGGACGCTGTTTTGATCTTGAAACGGAAACTTTAGATTTGCAAGAACCCACAATTTTATGTATGTATATATAATCATGTCTATATATATAATATAATTATATATATATATATAATCATGTATATATATACACATATCCTGCACATCTCTGCGCCAAAAAACACGGCTACAGTTCCAATATTCCAAAATATTCCCCCATGTTAGTAGCTAAACATCCAAAAAAACCCAACAGTTTCACCCTAAGAATTGACCATTGTTAGTTTGGCTCATGGCTCGGGCTGTTGGGAGGATGGTAACTTCTTACACCTCCGATGTAATCGTTCCCCCAGTCCTCAAGCGCTCCAGTTCCAACATCTGTTGCTGACGCAAGGCCTGCAGCTTAGAGAAACGTGGAGAACTGTGCCATGGTCAAGTTACATTACCAGTTACCCTCTGGTAAACCAATATAACTATGAAAAAACACAATCTTTTTAATAAGAAAATCAACTATAATTGGCCATGTTCAATAGCTATGTTAAATTACCAGAAGGTATGGGCGGTATGAGGATTGAATAGGAATTTCACGGGGATATCATCCCGTTAAATTGGGAGAATTGGGATACAACAACCTTAATATGGTTATATAATGAGGTATTGGTCCCATCATTAAGAATTACTTATTATGGCTAATCCCCAGAAAAATAGATTGAGTAATATCCAGGTATTAACCATGGCACATATGGAACTTACAAAGAAAAATCATGGAGTATAGCATGGCCGAATACGTAGTTGTTGCATAGTTGGAACTCTGGAAATTATGGTGGACTTACCCTCTGGTTATTTAACATAGCCATGGGAAATGGCCCATTTATAGATGGTTTACCTATTAAAAATGGTGATTTTCCATGGCTACGTTAGTCATAACCAGAGGGTATCTGTTTCCTCATCGACAGACTGTTCTATGGTGACCCATGACCCCCCCATCAGTTCCAAATCCACGAATCATCGTGATGTGGTGATTTCCTGCAAACTATTTTGGGGGTATACCCCAGTGAAGGACAAAACAGGACAAACACCAATAATATACCCTCTGGTAAACTAACATAGCTATGGAAAATCACCATTTTTTGTGGGAAAATCAACTATTAATGGCCATTTTCAATAGCTACGTTAAATTACCAGAGGGTATCATATATCTATAGATTATAGATTCCGGAAAGAAAAAACACATCTGATGATTCCTCTTCGATGTCCGAACAATACATGATATCACATATCAAGATACGTATAGAACTACAACAAAAAATAAACCAGATTGGAATTGGAATGGATCAAGAATTCTGATCATATTCAAATATATAATCGTCCAAGATTGGAAATTAACTATCCAAGTTTCAACCAATATCCTGTGGTGCCTCCATCTGCTGCTGTTTCTGCAGTTCCATCTGTTGTTCCTGCAGCTTCCTGAGAACTGACTGATCTTGCTTCGTCCAATAAAACTGGAAATCCACATGGCAATACGCACTGTGGATTGGCACCCAAAAGATTAGGATACCAAACTGGCCCCATGTGGTATGGAATCTTTGGCCTGCCGAAGCCTTAACCAGGTTCACCGGGTGCCAAGTAGGGAGATGGTTCTAAATCCAATGGTGAAAAAACGGAACAACAACATCACCTGGTTAAAGACATGTGAAACACGCACTTGCAAGGTGGTGCCCCATGGTTGGCTAAGTTGATATATCATATATCATAACCAGATTTACATAAATCTACATAAATTTACTAGATAGGCTCGTCTATGCATGTTTATGGTGATTTGTTATAAGCAAAGAAGGATGAGCACCACCTTGGGTTAGCTGGAGGACCAGTCCAGCAAGTAACTGCACATGGTTCATTTCTCACCTATCTGAAGGCATCCCATTTAGAGGCAGCTCAGCTTCCCTCCCAGCTACTAGCTATAGGCTATAGTTAAGATTCGCGGCCCAAGCTCATTCAAGTCATGCCCAGCTACGGTTGAGGACTACCCCCCTTCGTCCCCCATCAAGATGGCAGCCTATTTGTTGCGAGCATCTGCAACAGCTCTTGCTGCTGCTTTGCGACATCTTCATGTTGACCGCGGATGCTGTCTATCTCCTTTAAAAGGGGGCCACACAAAATGGAACAGTAAAAGCTTTACAAGTTGGCTTTACTGATTGAAAGCACTCACCAGGACTTGACCCTTTACGTCACTAGCGCCACTTGGTTCTTTTTCGAATCATATCGACTCTACGAATCCGATGATGTGTCACCGCATCTTTTCGCTGGTCCCGCATGCCGCACCTTCTGTGCTTTCTCTTGTGCCAAACGTTGATTCTCCAGCTGCTCCTCCTGCTGCCTGGCTCGCCTTAGGATGCTGAACACCTCCATTGGAAGATGTCAAGGTGGTACCACATGGGGGTTCCATAAATGGGGTTTCCCAAAATTAATTTATGAGGGAAAATCCTACTAACAGGGATGATTTTGGGGTACCCCTATTTTAGGAAACCATCACATAGTTAGCCAAGTCAAGTTGGCGAATAACTCCAATAACTTTGGTTTCCAGTATAAATATCCATAATTATCATGAATTATCCATACTTAATGGGTGTTATAAACCAAATAACTGGGTGGGCACCATCCTGTAATTTGGGATTCAAGTGGTTCAACCACCAGGGTCTACCCAAATTTAATGCGATACCAGTTATACGTCAGTGAGATAAGCCCATTTATGCAATTAGATCCCCATAGAAATCACCATTTATAACATGGTGAAGGGCTTTAACATGCTTTATGTGATGAAATTCCCACACACTCCATAGTTCTCGCCATCTTTGGGGCATGATTCTCCTTGATTCTCCTCACATAGCACTAGTTCACTGTAATCGCTGAGACCATGTGCAATCCATGTGCTAGTTACTACTAGTTTGTGGTTAAGCCACCAATCCAAAAGAGTCGTTGAAACCACCAGTCGGTCTATATTCATCAGCACGAAGCACGTCAACAAAAAAAATGGCGGCTTTGCGTTCTCTTGAAGAAACCAATTGTGGAAACATACGTTGTTGTTGCTGAACTTGCGAACTTGCACTCCAACAAGTTGACAAAACCACTATCTTCAGCAACAAACCCCTACACATATCTGGGGGATGAACCTTTCACCCGCCATAAAAATACCAAACATCCACAGCCCAAAAAAAAAACATCCACCTGGCCGAAATGTTTCGATCTGATTTCAGCTTCCAAGAAAGCATAGCAGGCTATATTGATCTTGCCAAGAACGTTACATGTATAAAATATATATATATAGCATACATACATACATATATATATATATATAAATATGTATATAATGTATATAATCAGAAGAAATACTATGTTCCTGCTGTGTTTGCAACCGATCATTCGTTCACTGGCCACTGGTCTGATTGAAACCAAACACCAACAGCTTCACGGCTTGACCTCGTCCGGGATCTGACATCACTGGTACACTATGTACCACCTGTAAGACAATTGATACGTAACAATTATAGCCATATATTATATGTACATATATATATAATTAGTCATATATATATATATAATTAGTCATATATATATATATTATGAAATTTATATGATATGTTTATATAATCCCTTCCTCCTATTACTAAACGTCCCCCAAATACTAAAAACTAGGGTCCATCTCTGATTTCGTAAAATTTCAGATTGGCCAATTTGACTTTTAATTGATCCCCTTTAGAACACAATTTAAAAATCAAGCTACCATTTGTGGGTTTTGCCCCCTAATAGTAGAAACTAGTTCACCCCGGGGTGTTTATTATTAGGGTCCGTCCGATTTGTTTTAGTTTTTTATATTAGGGCTTTTAATTTCTTATTAGGGCCCACTTCGAAAACCACTTTTTGGCAATATTTTAATTGCGTTATATACGGAAATTTAATTGATATTGAAATCGGAAAAAAATGTTTTTTTTTTTTTAATTAAGGGTTTAATATTAATAATAGGGTCCGCTTCGAAATCAATTTTTTGGCAATATTTTAATTGCGTTATATAAGGAAATTTAATTGATTTTGAGATCGGAAAAGATATTTGTTTTTTTTATGATTAAGGGTTTAAACTTTATGAATAGGGTTCCCTAATTAAAAATAAATACCCCCCTAATACTAAAAACTACCTGAGGTGCTTATTATTTGGGGGGGTATAGTATTAGGAGGAAGGGATTAATATGGCTCTCTTACAGATGGTTAAATTCTTCAAGTCAGCTTGTCTCCTCTGCACCGATTTTTTTCCCCCCAGGCTCCGAAGCCCTTCGTTTTCGACTCCCGCCGGGGTGCATTTGTTGATCTGCTTCCAACTTCTCTTCCATCAACTGTCGCATCTCCTAGGCCATGGGCATCCCGATGGGAACCAATGGCCATTAGAACTACAATACCCATTAAAAATGAAGGTGCGACCAACAAACAATGGGATTTTTGTATGGGCCATGTATTCTAAGGTCATTTCAGGAACTTATATAAATTGGAGGTACCTGCCATTTATACGGCCTATTCATCCTATTCTTTAAGGCTGTGTAAGGAAATATCACCACAACATATGGCCTTAGATTGTATGGTACACTACCTCCATGTTAGGATCCTGAAATTCCCATTGATCCAAGTAGAATCCAAAGATATAGGTTCTGGTTCAGTAAAGATCATGACATTGACATGAACAATTGTGTTTTATGAAAATTCTACCTCTTTTTATATTGTTTCAGTTCACTCCCCATCCATCCCCATGTCGCAGGCTCCATCCAGGTGCGTCCAAGGCTCGGATTTGGTGCCTTCCAAGTGTTGTGCACCCACCTGCAACTCCTCCAACCTGGCGAAGCCACGCCGTTTTTTGTAACGAGTCGTTGGAAGTTGGATCAGTGGCTGGGGCAAAACCTTGCAAAAAACACTGGGATTAATGGGTTTCAATCTTTTAATGGGTTTGAATGGGTTTTAATGGAAATTCATGGGGATACGGTGTTGGCAAACTATCTTTATAATATTATATTTATATAATATACATGATCAAAACATGATATAAAACTAACATAAAATAACCATCCTATCTTTGGAATTCTTTGGACATCACTTCCACCCACCCCAAGTACTGCTTGGCCAGGCAACTTATGTTCCATAAGCTGCTCAAAGATCTCACCGCCGTAGACCTTGTCCTACAGCCAAGTTGCCAGCCCAGCGATGATGGCGGTTGTAAAGGTCATACAAGCTGGTGCCCCCGTTCGATAGCCAAGTTGGTGCAAATAATAACTCCCATTTCACTATGGTTAATAGATGTTTATAGGATATCTCGAACTAGTTGGGCTTATAACCAATTTATAAATATTTATAAGATGTTTATAGGATATATCGAACTTATAATCAATTTCACTAGTGGGGACAGCCCCTTGGGTTCGATGGAAAGTAGGACAATTCTGGCCACCATCCCAAGAAAAAACCCGCCATCGCCTTGCCGACGGTGCCTTCACCAGCAGCAGTGGACTTCACCAGCAAGCGACAGGCATCTTCCTGGGGGGCAAAAATGCTGAGGACATGCTTCGGAAATGTGCATTTCCTTGGATTTTCACCAAGGAAAATGGAGATTTAGTTAGCTAAATTGACTTAGTTCACAAAAAACATATGAACATGGTGATGTAACCCACAAAAAAATGGATTTAAGCAACAAAAAATGATCGTTTGACCAGGATAAATGTGGATTTCATGAGACTGATAGTTGATTTATGACAGCTAAATTGACACTATCATTATACACATGGTGAAGTGTTGCATTCATAGGGGATATAACTATAGGTAATGGGGTAGTCTCACCTTGGATAGGTTTCTGTTCGTTTATAATTTCAATGACTGGGACGTTAAACGCGGGTTTGTAAACAAACCTAGGATATGGTTGGTAAATTGCTGGGAAATGGTTGGGAAATGGTTCGGAAATCCCTGCTCAATCCGATGAATGGATGTAATTTGGAAATGAACCTGATTGGTAGATGGGTTAATGTCATTTAATATCCCCATGATCCCATACAGGATGGTGCCCCCACAGTTATAAGTTGGTTACTTATACACGCCATTAACTATAGTTATATCATGTTATATCTATACCATAAACATCCGTAAACCATGGATTTCAACCATTTTTTTCGGCAACTGAACGCGAACTCAGGGTGCCCATCCTGTAGTGGGACTTCCTACAGATGCCACAGGTCCAAGGGGCATCACTCACGGAGTCATTCAGTGTGGGCGCCAGATTGGCATATCGATGTCGAAAACTTTTCCTGAGATCTCTCGAGTTTCAGGAAAATTTACCCATCAAAATGGTACCTGTTAATTAATCTTCATGTTCTTATCAACACATATATATATCAATATGGTATTCCTATGGTTGATATTGATATTGACATTTTTCGTTTTCATGTGCATGGTCATCTTTCACATTTGTTTTCATCAATCACATCTTGAGAAAGGACCGTCAGCTCATCATGTCAAATGATTGGTGGTTTCAATGACTGTGAAACATATTTGCCAATCGGGAACATAATCCCAAATAGGATGGAAAATTACATGGTGAGGCCGTCCCCGTGATGTTTGTTGGTTTTTTTAACCCTGGAATAATATAGTTCGATATATCCCCCTGGGCCCCTAGGCCTTAATCTGTCCAGCAGTTAACCAAGTGAACTTTTTGTCAAATTAGCGATTTCGCCAAGGAAGGCTTTACCTTCCAGACCAACCAGCTGATGGTTAAAGAGGCAAAATGACCCATGTTTCCCCCGAAACCGTGCCTATCATTTACCTATCATGGCTTGGAGAAACCCTATCGTGATTGATTATTACAACTATAATCTATCCAAATGGTTCCAAAAAATTCTGGTTATACTGATAGGGAAAACAAGATGCAGCCCACGAACCCGAATGCAGCCACGTAGAACACGTTTGTGAAACATGTTTTTGAACAGTCTTGTGCATTTTCCCCTGTTACCGTACCAGTGCACTGTAGACTGTGGAATGCTGAAGAGGATGGAGTGCAAAGTGTGGAGGTTGGAGTATAAAGTGTGGAGTGTGGAGTGTAAAGTGTGATCTGTGGAGTGTAAAGTGTGATCTGTGGAGTGTGGAGTGTTGAGTGTGGAGTGTAGGGTGTGGAGTGCAAAGTGTAAATGTAAAGTGTGGAGTGTGAAGTGTGAAGTGTAGAGTTTGGAGCGTACAGTGTGGAGTGTAAAGTGTAGAGTGTAGCGTGTGGAGTGTGGAGTGTAACGTGTGGAGTGTAGAGTGTAGAGTGAAAAGTGTAAAGTGTGGCGTGTGCGTGTGGAGTGCAAAGTATAGAGTGCGGAGTTTAAAGTGTAAAGTGTGGAGTGTGGAGTATGAAGTGTAAAGTGTGGAGTGTAGAGTGTGGAGTGCAGAGTGTGAACTGCAAAGTATAGAGTGTAAAGTGTGGAGTGTAATGTGTAGAGTGTAGAGTGTGGAGTGTGGAGTGTAATGTGTGGAGTGTAAAGTGTAAAGTGTGAAGTGTAGAGTGTGGAGTGTAGTGTGTGGAGTGTACGGTGTAGAGTGTAGAGTGTGAGGTGTGGAGTGTGGAGTGTGGGGTGTACAGTGTGGAGTGTAAAGAATGGAGTGTAAAGTGTAGAGTGTGGAGTGTGGAGTGTCCTCACATGTCACAACATGCCACGCCTGCCACTGATTTTGCACATTGCCACCACTTGACGCAACCCTCTCAAAAAACACGAACGCGACACGTCTGAAGTGCTGCGCCTGCCACGCATGATGACGATGGAGGTCTCAAGTGCGACGCCTGTCACGAAAACTGCAGCTCATCTTTTGAAAACGACGCAAAAGTATTGCGCCTGCCACACAAAACGACTTTCAACACGTTTTCAAACACGTGCATGAGAATATCACCAAGTGCCACGCCTGCCACGCAAAACGACTTGACAACCGGCTTGGTTGCAGCTTCCCCCAAAGACACAGCGACGGCAGCAGAAAACCAGAGAATCGAGACGGGACATGTTGCTTACATAGTCCCGTTTTTTATAACTAGTTAGCAGAATTAGCTAGTTACTAACTAATTATAAAACAGTTATAAGTCTTTATAAGGTGTTATAACTCACTATAACATAACTTAACTAGTTATAAAGTATGCTAAGTAGTTAAGATTTTTATCTTAATTAATAATTTTAACTAATTTTTAACTAACTAACATAACTCTTGCTAATTAACTTAATTTTTAGCCAGAGTTAGCTAGAGTTAGCTATTTTTTCTCTTTGTATATTCTTATTTAAAAACATATAGTAAATGCTTTGCATTTCATGAAGAAATGTGATTTTTATGTACATTCATTGCCTTGGTGGCATTGCATCAATGTGGTTTTGCTTGTTTGGTAAGGTTCCATCAGGTGCCTGAATGGGAATACATCCACCATGGTTCAAATTGCAACAACATGTAGCCATTGGACCAGATACAAACGACATGAAGGTAGACATCCAAAGGGTTTGCACCATCAGTTGCAATGATGGCAAAGCTATTCCAGTGCCTGCCACCTTGCTGCAAGAACATGGTGGTCGCCAGTGGCTGAAGCTCAGACCCACTTCCCAACCCATGAACCAAATGGTGTATGGCAAAGTGGACAAGAATGCTTCCTTTTCCAACCATCCAAAGTTCCAAGACTTCATTGCCAAGAGGAACCAAGTATGGGCCAAAGAAGAAACAGAGGACCAAGTGTGGGATGCTGCCAATGAAGATGAACCAAAGCCATCAGCCAAGAAGAGAAAGAGGGAGGATCCAGAAGTGGTGTCAGTTCCCCTGGCTGGAGTGGCCATCTCTTGCTTGATGCAAGGCCAAAGGCCAACCAAAAGTGATGTGGTTGTGCCACTGGAAGCAAGCCAGTTGGAACCCATTTTTGAACTTTTGCAGGAAGATGCAGACCAACTGAAAGCCAGGAAACCTTACCAGAGAAAGGTTCAAAAGGAGCAAAAGCAACCAGAAGAAGCAGCTCCCAATATGTGACAATTTTGAAGGCCAAGTGCAAGCCAATGGCTCAGTTGGAAAAAGATCACTTGCAAGTGCTTGCCACCATGGCATTATACATTCAGTGCCTGGTGGCATTGCATCAAGTGAAGCAGCCAAAATGGCATTGCATCATGATGAATTGAGCACCAAATGAAGCACATCCATTTTGGCATGTGGTTGCACATTGCTTGGTGTGCCATTGCTTCATGGATTCTTGAAGCCAAGGAAAGCCACAAGCATGACAGGTAAGACAAAAACTAGTGCAACAGAAACCAGGTACCAAGGTTTGCACCACATAAGTCAGCCATGGCTGCTGCCCTTGCCAAAGACATGGTTGACCCACAGTGTGTTAAGGCCATCAATGCCTTGCTTGCAAGCAAGCTACCTGTCAACCAGCAGGTGGACCAAATGGTAGCTAGTTACAAAAAATATGGCTTGGCTTACACATGCACAGTCAACCCAAGTGAAATCCTTTGCCATCCCCACAACAGAGCCAACCAAATGTTGTCCTGGGTGGACATGTGGGACAAAGGCACCAAGATGTTGAGCATTGGGATGAAGAAGCAATTCTTGGGAGAATCCATTGCCATAGAGACCAGCACTGACAGTACCACCAGAAAGGAGCAGCTGGAGGCCAACCAGAAGCTGATCCAGGAATCCACAGGGGCCATGGCACCCATGAATGGCACAGGTTTTGGTTCTGAAATTAAAATTGTTGTTTTGTTTCAACATGCGCCAGCCCAGGCTTTCTGAGCTTGTCCACAAGCCACACCACAGCTTTCTTGAGGGCCATCAACCATGGGTGTCTCCCAGAAGGGCAACCAGCTTTGGAGCTCCAAAAAGATGACACGTGTTGGGAACTCATCCAAGATGGGTGGCCATGGCTGATTCTGAGCCATTTGGTGGAGAAGCAGTGGCCAATGCTTCCCAGCATTATCCAAGGGGCTTTGAACTCAGCCAATGCCATTGCCAAAGCAGCCAATGAATTGGAATTGGCAGCTATGGTGGCCCACTTGTTTTCCCAAGGCATTGGATTGGATGAAGCCAAGCAGAGGATCCAGGCAACCACCACTGTTTTACCTGAACAGTTGACCACTCTTTCCCACTTTGTGAAGACATTCTTTGGTGGTGACACGTTCCCCTTGTTGGCTTTCCTCCAGAACTTCAGTTTCTTGGAACATTAAATGCTGTAGCATTGCCATATATGGCATTCCACCAATTTCTGTGCAGAGTTGTTGAATTGTTTTTTGTTTTTGAAACTAAGGTAGGAACTTCAACATTCAGCTCCAAGTGGGCCAAGACTTGTTGGAGGCCATCACCTACACCAATTTCAAAGTTCATGGGCAAGTTTTTCCATTTAGGGGGGTTGCCATGTGGTGTGCTATGCTCACCACCAACAAACATCAATCAGGAATCCAAAAGCTTTTGGTGAAAAATGACATTGATAAACTGAAAGGTCCATGTTCCATGGACAAGTTGAAACAGAGTGAGGAGCTGCTCAAAGCCAGCTGGTCCATTGTGACACAGCACTCAGATTCCCACCACAGCTACAAATGCTTTGGCAGGCTTTGCGCCAGGTGCATTTTGTATTTGGTAGGCAAGCAGAAGTTTTCCAGGGAGTCCAAGGTGTTTGAAACTTTGGAGAGCATGGTGGAGCTTTTCACCCAGGAGATGTCCAACACAACAATGCAGCAGGCACAGCAGCCAAAGGAAGACCAGAAGCCAATGGATGTTTTGCATGCCAATCCTCGACAAGTGGCTTTGCTCCAAAATGGTCACATTAAACTGGGTCAGCAGCACCTGGGTTTTATTAAGTGTTCCCCAGCCTGGTGGCATTGCATCAATGACTTCAGCATACATGCTGTTCTGGCAATACTTGTTTTTGACCAAGGTACCAAATGCAAAAAGATTACCCTGGCATGGTCTTTGCCTGCACTTCCATGAGTGACACCACCATCACCATGGTGCACAAACCTCCTTTGGAACAGGAGATCCAAGTTGATGTGCCATTTGCAGACCTTGGCAAATGGAAGGTGACCAGGTGCCACATGGCCAAAGTTTGCCCAGCTCCCACTGTGGAGCCATTGCTTCCACAGAATGTGCCTTATTGCCAGGAGGAGCGCTTGAGGCTGCAAGCCACTTTGGCCTTGCATGAAGCCCATGACAAGCACCAAGTGAACCATTTGCAAGTTGCCTTTGTGACCAGCCCCACAGGCTTGTACACATTGCAGCCTTTGAAAAAGGCCAAGGTGCTGAAGCTGGTTCCCATTGGCAATGTTTCCAAAGCCAAGGAATCACCACCCAAGGGTGCTATCTTGATGGACTTTGGTGGATTGACCTGGCAAATCCAAGGTTGGAAGCAATTCCAAAGTTTTGAGGATGCCAGTCCCAAGCCCAATGATACATTGGTGCCATACTTTTGGTGTAAAGCAACCAAGGAGGACTCCAACATGGAGTTTGGCCATGTGAACCTGTCCACCAACTATGGCACACTGAAGGTCCCAGTTCTCACCAATTCCAAAGCTGTGGAAGCCAACCAGGTTCTCTTGTACCAGAAGGTCGATGATGACACCACTGAAGCCACTGAGACCACTGAGGGAGCCACACCTAGCAAGAAGAAGAAAGCCAAGAGATAAACACTCACCACCAGAGGTTGAAAAGAAACAAAAGTGTCATATGCTTTGTAGCATTGCATCAGGTGCTGTTGGGAACCACCAGCTACATAGCATTGCATCAAGCAAGGCCCTGTGGCATTCCAACTCAAATTTGTTCACTTGATTCTTGTTGCCATTCTGGCATTACATCCATGATTTCACATGGTCCAGCCATGAGATGTGCACAAGCTTGATCTAAGTATATAATGGGTTGCAGTTACAGCCCAAAGACCCATGAGGGCCATGCAAGGTGTTTCCTTGCAACCTCCAAGGCTTGGAATCTAGCTCTTCACCACCATTTGCCAATGATGGTGAAGAGCTAGGTGCCCTGTCATGGGGAGGTTGAGTGGGGAGGGGTGGGGGTGTCCAAGCTTTCCTTTCATGGACCTTGGACCAGGCACCAAAGGGGCATTGCACCAAGGATTGCACATGTGGATCTGCCAAACACCTCATGGGGGTCAGATGCAATTCATGCCAGTGCTTTGCCATTAGCAAGACAACATGAAGGTGCACACCTGCCTGCTGTTTTCCATGGCATGGCTTTGGCCTTTATCCATTCAAGGCAATGAGAAGATGCACCACTATCCAATATCTTGGCTGGTTGTGCAGCTTCTGGTTTCCCAAGCTTGTTGCCAACTTGATAATGAACAAGTAACACTCATGTTGTGGCTGAAAAAATGATCTTGCAGTTGCTGCATTGAAATTTTGTGTAGTGGTAGTGTTGGTGCTTAGGTATTGCAAGGAATACTATTTAGAAGGTGCCATGGCATGTGCTGGTTGCCATATTGGCATTGTAAACATGCATTGGCAATTGTGGCATCCAGATGTCTAGCAGCCATAATGGCATTACATCAGCAAGCGAAAGTCTAGCAGCCATAATGGCATTACATCACCAAGTGAAAGACTTTAGCATGCCACCACCATGCCATGGGGGGCTGACCTGTAAAACTTGCAGCTGTGCTTCCAAAGGGTCATTGCCACACTGGACAGCACTTCTTTGCTTCCAAGCCATGGGCCAAGGTTTGTCTGCACCACCAGCCTCTGCTGAAGCTGCCATGGTGACAACAGGCAATGTGGATCCAGCCACTGGAAAGTACTTTGCCAATGGACCATGGCAACCAGGGCCTCCCTCCATAGTTGACCTTTGCCATTTCATTCCAGGTGATCCATTTTGGTGGAGTGTCCACTGCAGCACCCCAGGGTGCCAAAGCTGGTTGTGGGTGGAGAAGACCAGACTCCCACAGTTCCAGCAGTGCACCCAGTGCCAGCAACCCTGGATCCAGAGCTTCCTTACCAATGGGGCAAACAAATGGCATGATGGCCCACCGGATGACCAGCAGTAGCCATGACCAGCAAATGGTGCCAAAAGGCATGCCAATATGGAGGGAAAGAAAGAATGGCTGAACCAGCAGTATGTTCTTTCCATGCACTTGGTTATCTAATGTTGGAAGCATTGATAATATAGTTGTTTTTTAAAATAAACATTTGCTTTATGTGGAATTTGTTTACCAAGACCATGGTACACTCAGATCATATGATCAAATTATGGTATTGCCATATTGCAAGAATTATTGTTATGTATGTATATATATATATTTGTAGCCTTTAATGGCATTGCATCAATGTTCATGTCACCCCAACATGGTTGCCACTAGTGGCATTACATCAAATAATTATCTTTGTTCCCATAAACTCATTAGAACAAGTTTTCCACATACATATGCCACCATGGCATTACATCAATTTTACCATGTGTGTTTGGTTTGCCTGTTTGTGGCATTGCATCATTTCTTTGCATTCAAGCTTGGTGATTTTTTTTTGGGGGGCAGCAATTTGTCCCCAAGGTTGCCATAGCTTCCCAAGACTCCAAGCCAATTGCTCACCATGGCCAAGGTGTCCAAGCCCATGAAGGTTTCCATGAAGGCCACCAAGAAGGTGCCAGCCATGAACTCCCAAGAGACCATGCCAGATGAGTCCAAGGGGTTGTACCACGCAGTGCTCCATTGCACCAAGCCCAAGTGCCCATCTTGGATCTTCATGAGGAAGTTCCATGGTGGCCATTGTGTGGTTTGCCACACACCATGGAGCCAGAGCTACCCAAAGGGTGCCATGTGGTGGTCAGATGTGACCAAAACCACCAAGAAGAAGGCCACCAAGCCACTTCCAAACGACCAGAAGCCCAAGAAGGCCATGAAGGCCATGAAGGCCCACAAGACCATGAAGGCCAAGTGAGCGGGAGGCCACAACCATGGACCAACTCTTCCAGGTGCTGATGGAAAGAAAGCTGCTTGACCACCATTGCCATTGTGGCATTCCATCAGTTGCATTTGTGTCCATACCACTTACTTTTGCCATGGCCATTGTGGCATTACATCAATGTGGATTTTTGCATTGTTTTTTTTGCCATTATGGCATTGCATCAGATGTTTTTTTCTTGGGAACCAGGCCCATTGCAGCCTGCCACCATGGCATTGCATCATTTCCATGAATATTAGTTTCAATAAGGGCAACCCATATACTACAATCTATTTTTCAATATATTTGGTTAGGTTTGATTGTAAATCCATTATCTTCAAGTAAATGTTGTTGCCAATAGTTTCCACCTGCTTTTATTGCAGCCAGACTGTCAAGAGTTTCCATTGAATCCATTCCCACTTGGACTATTGGGTGAGCCATGGTCAACATTTCCATTAATGACTATACCATCAGTGAAGGACCATTGGGACGCCACTTGGTGCTTTTCTTCAATGATGGCACCAGCCAAAGGTAACTTGGATGTTATGGCAAGTAATCCATGGATTTCATTGCATGCAACATCCAAACCACCATAGGGTTTCCATAGTTGAAATGGGGGCTAAGGTACCCAGTGCCTGCTCCCAATCCAGAAGGGTCCATGAGGACCAAATGGACACTGGTGACCAATATCAATGGAGAGAAGATCCAGCATAGGGTCCATCAAGCTCCAGGCCATGCACTCCAGATGATTGAGGTGGAGTACTTGGCCAAGCTCATCCATGGGAAGCCCATTGAGGAGACCACTGCATTGGTCCACCATTGGTTCAATTGAAACCATGTTGGATTTCCAGACAAGAGCGTTGAGGTTTAAAAAAAACATCTGTGTTGATTTTTTTGCCATCAATGGCATTGCATCAATATTGATATATATATAATGTGTATATATGGTAATTAAAACTATTTCCTTTTGATTGTCAGTGATGACATCCAAGAACTTGCCAGTGATGGCATTACATCAGACATACCATAACTACATGTTGCCATATATGGCATTGCATCAGATATAGCATAACTAAATGTTGCCATATATGGCATTGCATCAATGTGTGTGTTTTTGTTTTTTTTGGTGTGGTTTGATTTGCCATTCATGGCATTGCATCCATTTATTTTGTTTCATGGTTGTCATTCATGGCAGTTCAAGTAAATATTTTGTTATGATTTCACTATGGTTTTGCATATTCATGATTGTGAAATTGGTTCATACATGGTTGCAATTTGGCTTACCAACATCATTTTTGCCATTGCATGTACAAGCATGCTCAGCGATAAATAATATATAGTATAACATTAGAAAAACAGTTAAGTTCAGAATTCTGAACTTAACTTCAAAATTTCCAGAGTTAGGTTCAGAATTCTGAACCTAACTTCCAAATTTCCAAAGTTAAGTTCAGAATTCTGAACTTAACTCCAAAATTTCCAGAGTTAGGTTCAGAATTCTGAACCTAACTTCCAAATTTCCAAAGTTAAGTTCAGAATTCTGAACTTAATTCAAAAGGTTCAACATAAGTTCAGAATTATGAATTTATGATTTTGATTCTTTTGGGATTATGTCTTGTGAAATCATTTACAAATAATTTTATTAGTCTAGAATAATTCATGGTTGATTCAGATATGTTTGTTCTCAAATAATTATTTATATTTCAGCATATATAAATTTATATATATAGTTTAACAATATTACTACTAAATATAAATATATATATACATAATCATTTTATTTACCAATTCGACCACAATCTCCCATAGCCATGGCTTCTTCCCATGATGATGTCACCAGGTCATTTTTGACCACAGGAGACACCATAGAGAACCAACATATCAGGGAAGGATGGGAGAGGCAAACCATGGCCATGTTTGACAGGCCACTAGAGCCAGATGCAGATGCCTTTATTGCCACAGTAGAAAGAGCCATGATGGCAGAAGAAGACCATAGGGACAGGACTGGAGACCATAGTTGGGAAACCAACCAGATGGAAACAGAAGATTTGGCCAGTGCCCAGGCCATGGAGGTCCAGTGGTACCAGGACCAGGATGAACACATGGAAATTCCAAATGATGCCTCCAGCACATGGGACAGGTATTGGGACCACTACCCAAGACCATTCTCCAATACACCATGGAGAGGTGGAGCAAATGTGCCAGATGCCACTTCCACAGCAGCATCTCCTTTGGGAACTACCACTGCTCCCAAAGCATCTGCCATGACCAGTGGTGCTTCTGCCACACCTGCCAGGTCTACCACAGCAAACCCAAAGGCCAAGTCCCAGCCTGATAACACCCACGCCACTGGTTTGGAGAGCCAAGCTGGTTTGGCTGGTTGCCAAGTACCAGCTGGGTGATTGGGATGGCATCCAGCAATTGATGGATTCCATGAGGTCAGAAATCCAGGGTGGCACCAAAGGTCACCAGTCCTGGAAGTTCAAGGCCCAAAAGTGGTTCCAGTACTGGGACCAAGGCTGGTGGCAGGACCTGGAGCAGCTCCAAGAATGGTATCTAAGCAGCACCTTATTCAAGACCATCTAATGAATTGTGGCCAGCATTTGAATGTCATTGATACCAATGATGATCCCATACTTTCCAGCATGCATTGCTTTGTTTCATTGTTTATGTATCTCTTGGCTTGGCAATCTTCAAAGAAATTGCATCAATTCTCAAAAGCATACATGTTCCCAATTCTTTGCAGCATT